CACCATCACCATCATCATCATCATCATCATCACCATCATCATTACCTTCATCATCATCACCATCATCGTCGTCATCACCGTCATCACCGTCATCATCATCATCACTATCATGATTATGCTGATGGTGATCCACTGGAAGAAGAGTCAGTCAATCGCATTATTTATTATTTATTTCATCAATACCATTATCATCACCATTGTCATCATCATCATCATCATCATCATCATCATCATCGTCATCAGCACCGTTACAAACAACTTTATAAGAGTATTTGATTAACATACACTATCGATTATTTGCTATTCAATTTTCTAAATTAATTTAATTATTTTCGTTTTGTACCAAAGAATACATTTTTGGATTGTGCTCTACTGTACCAAACAGCGGGCAATCTCCAATTAGATAATGTGATCTGGTAAAATTGTATCATTTGAATATAAACATTCTTTCTGGCTTCATTAGTGCACTCTCTAGGGACCCTTCACGTGCCTTGGCCTAACGAGCTTTTGTTTGGTATGTTATAACAGTTGAATATGTATTTGCATAAAAAATATGAAATGACATTTTCTCTTGCGCTATCTGATTATTATTAGTTTCACTCGTAAAGATATTGTAATTAATGAAGGTTGGTCTTAAAGCATTAGGATTCATCCGCCAGTAATGTTTACCAGAACACTAGTCCTTCCATTTCTACGATCTTCAAGAGTTGAAGTTCCTTTGAGCAGGTGAGTTTTACGATTCCTCGATGCTACATATGCTAGTATTTAACATTAGTAGCCATATTGTCAAAAAGCTTGAGAAATACCGAAATACGTATCTGATATTTGCGCGTTTAAGGGTCTTTATGGTAAAGTACGAAGCGAGGAGTCGAAATAAATATATATTTTATACGTGTTTAATTTACAAAACTTTTGCTTTCGTTTGATATGTTATTGAACTTTAACACTCTTACTATGCATTAATACTCCCGTTTCGAGTTCTCTTTGCTTAGCCTTAGTCTCTGTAGTACGTTATAATATTCAGCTATTCAACCAAAACCCGTGGCATTTTAATCAACTCGTATTGTTCTGTAGTACGTACAATCCTTTCAATACAATGGAACTTAATAAATGAAAAGAATATATAATATTTGTACACCATCTAGGCAAAGACTGAGCAAAGACGAACATTGAATAATCTTGACTGAATGTACTTGTTGCATATTGCCTGGCACAAGAAAGGCATGTTTTCATGTTTTGATACTTAAGATTCTTACTGGGTAAGCAAATTGGCGATCAGCATGAATACTAAACTGGTTTCCAATTTTGCCCAGTTTCACTCACACACACTACATTCGCCAGTATATTCTATGCATGTTTATAGCTCTCAACTCACATGGTGATTTTTACTGACGGAGATAGTAAAAGTGGATTACGAAAGTATAACAAAGTTGGGGGGGGGGGGGGGGTGGAGACAAGAGCGCACACCTTTGTTTATATATTTAAGTTTATATACATAAGCTTAAATCTGATACTAATATATTTATATTAATTCCGCAATAACCTAAAAGAAAAAAAAAATGCCACGGCCGATTGAACTTTCATTCCCCTACACTCTCACTTTTGGATGCTCTTGATTAGGCGATAGTGATACATCGATAAGATTATTGATTGAAGTCAAAGACTTTTGAATAGAAAAACGAAGGAGAGCCGTTTTTACTGAATCGGTGTATACATTTAAGATTTGATTACCTTCGCAGTTTGTTCCTTTATATCCCTGCATACACGTGCAAACGTATCCCCCGTTAGCCATGGTACATATCCCACCGTTACGACAGGGATTAGGATGACACTTATTTTCCTCTGTTAAGATTACAGTCAATATGAAATATATTAGTAAATTAACCAAGATGGGTCGTGTCGGCAAAGCTATAATTAGATAAGAATCAAAGGTAGCGTAAGTTAGCTCTCATCTTTGGAGTGTTGGGTTCGATTCCTAGACTTGACATCACATTTGAGTAGTGTTTGTCAGGTCTCTCCATTCATTGGAGGGGTTTTATCTCGGGTTCTCCAGTTTTCTCCCTTCACAAAACCCAACAAGTGAAATTCCAATTCGTTCTGTGAGTTAGCCGTGCCCTGACTTAGACCAGCCCAGAGGTCGTTTCAGGGTTTGATCTGTGAGTTTACCGTGCCCTGTCTTAGATCAGCCCAGAGGTTGTTTCAGGGTTTAATCTGTGAGTTAGCCATGCCCTGACTTTGATTAGCCGAGAGGTTGTATCAGGGTGTCAATAAAATTGCAAGGTTAAAGGTAGAGTGTTACTCTGTTTATACCTTCACAATCAGATCCTTTGAAGCCATGTGTACAAATACACTCGTAACCATTCTTAACCTCATTACATGTTCCTCCATTCTGACATGGATTCGAGTCGCAGTTACTATCTGAAATAAAATGATTAGTTAGAATTCATACAATTAAGGATATCTCTTCCCATTTCGTAGCCTAACTTTTGCATGGAACATTCCTATTCAAAGTGTGATTACAAAGCAAAACGAAAGAAAACAACAACAACAAAACAACAACAAACAAAAACAAACAAAATCTAAGAAAGAAAGAAAGAAAGAAAGAAAGAAAGAAAGAAACCCTGTTCTAGTGATGAACCAATTTTTTTCTGTCAAAAATGGTCGTCTTTAGGAAGAATTGCTTCAAATTTATGGCTTAACTATCAGCAATCCAAATTATGAAAAACATTTTCAAAACTCCAAGAGCAAATTTACGAGAAAACCAGAGTCCCAAGACCAAGGATTATAAGCTTGAAATGACGGCCAACTAAATAACTAAAACCATGTCTCTGGAAGGATGGAAATGTCAGATTAAACGGCGGGTCAGTCCTATGCAGTCGAGGTACAGTGTCTTGTCCTTAGGATCACCCAATATAGGAGATCCGGGTGAAGTTTTACATGATCTGATAGATAGCACATTCTATATAGCATAAGAAAATTAATGAAAACATGGTTAAAACAGGGGCGGAAAAAAAGGACCAAAACGATTCGTAAAAGAAATTTGAATAATTACCTTCGTCTTCATCTTCTTCAAATTGCTTCATTAAATTAGGATTTTCAAACATCTGTAAAGGAGAACGCATTTCATGCTGTTCGCCCATGAACGGATGGAAGAGGTGGTTCATTAGCAGTGAGTTGTACGGGATTGCTATAGGAGGGCGAGGGATATGGGTCGTCACAACAGTTTTCTGTGTCAAAGGAGGTGGTCGCATCATCATAAATGGTGACTTTTGGAAAGATCCGAACATTGACAGATGCGGAGGACGCAAGATAAACTGTCGTTTTTGCTCTTTTTTTCCTTTAGAGGTCAGTGGTAGACGATCTATGGCTTTGGTGGATGACTTGACCTTTGATGGTGCCATGGTCTTTGGTACAGTCTTGCGAGTCTTCGACCCGACACGTTTCAAAAATTCCACCTTATGGTATTTTGACTTCATCCATTTTTGTTTTGGCTGCTCTTTTGTCCCATTATTTTGTAGTCTGAAAATTTGATTCCCTTCGTTTTTCGCATCTCCGCTTTCACTCTTGGTTGCTTGAGTGAAGAACAAAAGTAGGATCCCAAGAAATAATCCTAGAAAATTTAACCTCATTTTCGAGGACTTTGTAGGTTGTAAACTAAACGGTTCAGTTTCGATGCCATCGGGTTTACGTACATGTTCTTGGATGAGACATGACTATTGGATAAATCCATTCATTCGTGACAAGTTAACCGGGAATGCATTGATTTCACAGGTCTCGTATTCAACACTGTTTATTTATTCATAGAAATCAGAGTCAACTCGTAAAAACAAAATATAATGTACAAAATACTAAACAACATCTGCTAAACAATCACACCTCACACACAAGGACACCTCTATCTATTTCATGATTTCTAGAAGACTCCAAGCCTTTAGAAGATTTTAAAAAAGTCCCCAAACATTTGTGATTTTTTTATTCCTTGGACGCGATTTTCTGACCGTGTTTTACTTAAATTCACATATTATTTTTAATTAGTTATTTCGTTTTGTCGTTTTACAACGTTTTATCAGCAGGTGTTCTTTTCATGATATATCTTTGAACTGGTGTTTAAATTATCTTTAGAAAAACATTGTGAAGCGAATATTGAAATCAAAACATTTTTCTTTTTGTTAAATTTGGTCGTGTTGAACATGCGGTCCTTGAGGTCAGTAAGTAGCTGAGGAGTAAATGTAGCATATGCGCAATACTTTTTAGATTAAATAGGTAATTATATATAGTTATAGTTTCCGTTGATCCACTGTTCATGCAAAGGCACTTAGAATATCAAACTTTTTTAAAGAAAAGTTAATAAAGGTTTTGTTACATGTTACATGTTGCATACCAGGCCTGAATTGCACTATGGGTGATGTGAATGCAATCACTAAAAGATCACTAGGCTCTGAAATATTCCTAAACTTTGTGTGCGCGTTTTACCTACATATAATGTCTTCTGTGCTGCCTTTTGTACATGTAAATATGATACATTTCAACCTTGCAACATGCAACATGCAACATGCAACATGCAACATGCAACATGCAACNGAGTGGTATTCCGTATTCAAGGGTCTTCTCATGCACAACCGTTAAACAAAGAAATGATACTCTAGGGAATAACACGTGGTCTGAAATGGCTTAACGCAAAAATAAGCAACAAATCAAGAAAATAAGTCGTAAAATACAAATATGCCACTTACACATATCTTACATTTCCCAGTGGCAAGAAGGTGTTGTTAGGTATATCAGTGAAACCAGACTGTATGAAGTTGCTGTTGAATAATGGAATATCATGCTAAAAGATTTCAAAAATTCGCATAAAAATCACAAAAAAATGAGCAGGTTCTGAATCTTACATTTCAGTCAGCTGCGAGGTGTTTATAAATGTACTTGCATCGATTGTTAGATAAGGGGTTTGTGAAGCGTCTCTACATCAAAAGAAAGAATTAAGGACTGATGAAGATAAAGCATCAAAGAAATAAAGAAATGATGATGATGATAATGATAATGATGATAAGAATGATGATTACATGTATATCAAGGATGTCATTCCAGTAAACACAAGTTTTTTGAAGGGATTGTCTCGTAAACGTCTGAAAAGAAATAACGGAGAAAACTGACAGCTATTTCAAAAACGAAGTTTGGTTAAGGTTTTGCTGCTTCTTGCATGTTGCATAAACTTGAACGAACAAGCACAGAAGTGATTATGCTGGAAAAACTTGCAGAGAAAGTTCAGGAAAATCTATATCGCAAGCTTTCGTTGATTGATTTCACATTGCCGGTAGTGCAGTTCGGAACATGCAACATGCAACATGCAACATGCAACATGCAACATGCAACATGCAACATGCAACAACGATGAAATAGCTGATATTGTTCAAATTTTATCAAAATCCACTGATCTACTCTAAAGAATGACACCGACAACCATTCAGGTGATTTTCTAAATGTTTAGTTTCAAAATTGTTCTTAAAACAGTCTGGTTCTTATAACGTATGCAAAGCGTTTGTAAAATGTTCATTACTCACTTAGTATTTTGAAGCCCAATAAGTCTATTCGGTTCAGGTGAGGGATATAGTTCATCTAAAGCACCCCCAAGCATGGATGCCCACCCTAGGTGCCCACCCTAGGTGCCTACCCTAGGTGCCTTAATCTCTATAACCAGTGATAGATATCATTTACGAGGCACTGGACAGGAACCAATAATCCCCTTGCATTTGACGTCAAAGATGCTCGAAGTAAAGGATAAAACAAAAGCATTTCAATCTCCTGAGAACAGACCGTTTTCTCGAGGTCGCGTGCGCATCCAACTTGAAGGGTCACAAAACTGAAAAACGCAAATTCAGTAAAACTGAGAAGACAGTTTTATAATAATCGAATAATCGATTTGATGAATTCTTATTGAAAATGTTTTCATAGCAATGCATAATAATATTCGTGTTCTGGTATCGTGGCCCGTTAAGCTCCTTAAATTTGGATGCGCACGCAAACTTGAGAAAATGGTCTACTATAAACCTCTTCAGCTTGGGCGTCGTGTTTTCTCATTTCAGACCACGTGTCATTCTCTTGAGAATAAGATTCTTTGTTTGAGTTGTATCCATATTCATGTGTCTTCGTGCGCAACTGTTAAACAAAGAAATGATACTCTAGGGAATGACACATGGTCTTGAGAATAAGATTCCTTATTTGAGTTGTATCCATATTCATGTGTCTTCTCGTGCGCAACCGTTAAACAAAGAAATGATACTCAAGAGAATGACACTTGGTCTGAAAAGGGCAAACGTTGCACATGAGGAAAAAGAGTCTATAGAATATAGGTCTTCTGTATTTAGCTAGGTTTAGGGGAGCTTGATATCTGCCATTTGAGCTTCCTCCTGCTTAAGTCCTCTCATGTCCAGTTCTAGAATACTACTATTTTTAAGATGCAGAAAAAATTCAAGAGCCCTTGTTTTTTTAAATTTATTTTTTCTTTTTACAAAAACTATATACTTTAATTTCTTTAAAATTTTTACGATAAATATTTAGAATTTTTTAATGATGATTTTTGTCGGACGAGTGACGGGTGTAGTGTTTCTCTCGTTTTTCTCTCTGTTGTTCTTTTTCTTTTCTTCTGGTGCGTCCTAACAGCAGTCCATCGCTTTCATCTTTGTTTTTACTTTCTATATATGCAACGTACGGCTGTCCACCCCAGCTGTTTGAGTAACTTACTGAAAAAAGAAGTACATGTGATTAAAAAGGATATTTTAAGGCATCGCACCATGGCATGCTGATTTATTGAACACTCGCTTTTAGTAAAAAAGGATATTTTTAAATAAGAGGACAAAAGGTTTGGAGCTGAAAAAATGAAACTGAGACGTCTATTTGGACGATACGGCGGCCATCTTGGATCGCAAGGCATTATGGGGCGTCCAGGGGAAAACTACAGCTTTGTCACAGTAATGACGTCGATTGATATTAACAGCTCACCGCAAGAGAATACAACAATGATGAATTAAGACGGCACATTGATCACCTTTACCCATAAAATAAAGACAAACACACGAAACTCTATATATTTTACGTCATCTTTGTTTTGTTTTGCCTCCTGGCAAGATGGCCGCCATATCGTCAAAGTAGTCCATTGGATCTACATTACTTTTATTTAACCAGAAAATGCTTAGCCATGGTCATGACACAGTAAACGTACGTCCGTATCCAACATTTACCTCACCTAAAGAAACTCAAAATTGAAGCTCTCGTCTTTTTACCTGGGTTTTTATAAGTACTCCTCTGACCAGCCCCATGTTGATAGTACGCTCCATAGTTTGTCGCTAAGGGCAACGCCCTTCCATTGGCTGTGTTGTATTGGTATCCATTACTGTTTTGATTGAGCAAGGTTGATGACCCCGCTGAAGACGGCTGGTCATTATAAAATGCTCTTCCTTGGCCACTTGGACTAGGACTTCCCGGATAGACATACGGGTATACGGTACCGTATCCCCTATCACGTGACAAAGCAGTATACCTATACGCTTTTGGTGCAGGTTTTCGAGTTTGTGCTTGAGCTACTATCTCTCTGGTAACCGGGATGTCCGGGGGCTGAATACCCGGTGGCATCAAGATCTCCGGAGACGGGGCGAACGATTCCGTCAGTACGTTCTCTGGGGGATTAGCTACCATGTCGGGCAACTCATTTGATTCTTCATTTGAAGAAGTAAACGACGATGGAGATGCTGTTGGGGGACCCATAGCTGTAGGCTGGACGAGTTTCCCTGGCTTTGGAAACGATGACGGTGGACCTCCACTCAAGGAATTGCCTTGGGCATTGGCTTTTGTAGATAATTGGTACGTAGCTCCTGGATGGAGGAGGACGAAAGAAATGTGACTATTATAGGAGTTAATTATCAATGTTCAGTAAAACTGGATGCAGTAATGCCGGCATGCAGCAAAAGTAGAAGCAATAGGAACGACAACAGGAACAACCAAAAGGCAGTATTAGAAACAGCAGCTGCAACATCAGCAACATTTACGATAACAAAGGTAAAAAGCATTCATTCTTTTTTAACAATTGTCTTTACTTTTTGCAACCCTTTTACCAGAGAAAATTATTTTTCATTTATGACAAGTTTGCGATTTTTCTCCACAAATTCCTGTTTGCCTGTAAAGCGACGATTTACGTTGCTACGTGTCATTCTCTTAAGAATAATCTTTTTATCTATCGGTTGCATATGAGAAGACAAAATGAATATAGATGCAGCTATAACGAAGAATCTTATTCTCAAGTGAATGTCATGTTGTCTGGAATAGGAAAAAACATCGCACCAAGACGAATAGGGTCTATCGTACCTTCATTTTCTAACGTTGGTTCTTCTACTTCTGGTTTAGTATAAGCTTCGATATTGGCTCCTGGATTCGGCACTTTTACAATCTGATTGGCATTAAGTAAACCCGTCTGTCCTACATTTACTGCCAGAAAGAAAAGAAAGCAAAATTATGAAATTACCCATTCCGAGGTTGAAGAAAAAACTGGGTCGGGTTGGCGTTGCAGTGCATTGTGGGGCTGTTTAGGGGGGAGGGGGTGGGGTGGGGGCATATTTCCAAGAGCATAGTTAACACGTATAGGAATCGAACATACCTCTGGCTGGCTGGGCTTGTCTTACGAGGATAACTGTGGGATAGCAAGAAAGAAAGATTGTCCATTCTGTCAATAGCTATATTTTTCTAGCGTTATAATTCCCTTTCTAAAAAAGTATGTCGTTGGTTTTGTGCTAAAAAAAAAAAAGAAAAGAAAATTCCCCAAGTTTCCCCCCAAAATTATATCCATCCTAATGAGGCCATCAGCTGCGCATTATCAGGTGCGCACGAAACGGATAAGTTTTCTCCGTCGTCTCGAGTTTGCGTCGCCTTCTAAATCTATATATTGGTCAGCACGGATACCATAGGGATGAAAGCACTCGCCTCTCGCTAAGGCGACCCGAGTTTTTTTCGCGAACACGATGTCATGTGTGAGTAGAGTTGCTTGTTGGCTCTCTCCTGTGCTTCGAGGTTTTTTTTTTCGGGTTTTCCAGTTTTTCCTCCCTCCGCAAAATATCATCTTCAAAATTCAATTTGAGTTCATTAGAAGAGCCACTCTGTACAACCACTGTTATTTGCTATTTATTTTTATCATTGAAAAAATATCAGTGATGGCTAATCAAGAGCTTATCAGAAAACAAGTTCTCAGACAATCGAAGAAATAGAAAACGCGCGCGCGTGCTGTGTGCAGTCATAAAGCATGCGAGAATTGGCAGAACACGAGAGAAGTGTTAGGAGAAGCATGACGCGTAGCGGAGTGCTTTTGGACACTTCTCGAGTGTTCTGCCAATCCCCAAGTGCTTTATGACTGCACACAGCACAGCAAGCAAGTTTTTTATTTCTTTTATAAAATACAAATTACAATAATAGGTAGGAATGACGCAACGGAAAGTGCGCGCGCGTGCAATGTGCTCGCATAAAGCACGCGCTCCAGACCAATCAGAGCGCGACATTCATAACAGTTATTTTATACAAGGGTTTTAATCTGAAATCTGAATGTCTATCCGTACCTTCACAATCGATGCCTGCATATCCCGTAGGGCATAGACATTTATACCCATTAGCATTGAATGCTACATCTGCGGTATTAGAAGGGTCGATACATGTTCCTCCATTTATACAAGGGCTGGACTGACATGCTGGCTGAGGAACTAAATAGGAACATAAATATATTTAGCTTTATCTATATTTAGATATAAAAAGAACTCCGGAAGCAATTAAATAAAGGAGGCAATTTTATCTTGATCTCTCGGTAGCTTTTTCTGGATCATATTTTTGCGAATTGAAATATTTTCAGATTTTGCTGAATAAGATATGCTCAAAAATTTTTCCCAATGATTTCATTCATTAATGCATGCGCTCTAACATTTTCTAAGCTTTGATGAGAAAGTGTTGCATGAATTTCAAAGGTATGTTTCAGTGCTCTGGGGAAACGTCTTCAAGTTTCAGGAATTTTCCAGAAAATTCCCAGCAATTCCAGAATAAGCGCGTAATAATTCGTAATTTTTTTTCTTTCTCGAGCAAATAAAATTTGTAACTACAAATTTCTCAACTTGCGTTATATAGTGTTTTTTCTCTACCTTGGCAATTCTTCCCACTGTAGCTCGCAGGACAAAAGCATCGATAGTCTAGTGCATTGATTAGCTTCAGTTCCATCCCTTGGCTGTTAGTGTCATCATAGCACGTTCCTCCGTTTTGACAAGGGTGTGCGATGCAGGGATTCTTGAGAACTAGTTCTAAAATTAAAATTATTAAATCAGCACTAGTGAGGTCTTCTTAGCGCGCCCATCAAATACAAGATTGTGGGCGTGTTGTCTGATGTGGGTTCAGTCGTGGATGGGAATGAAGAGGGTGTACATTTGTAGCAATTATGTAGCCATGCTGTACTTAGCATCATTTGAAACGGCTTTAAGTGAGTTGCACTTACGATGAGAAGCCACTTCAATGTTGCGGCATGTGAGTCAGTACCGTATGTTTCCCACTCATACGAGAACCATTCTTATGGGAAACCATGTCAGTGTTACTGCATGTCGTACCGTGTACGTGCTGTAAGTCAGTACCGTATGTTTCCCACTCATACGATAACCATTCTTATGGGAAGCCAACCTACCCAGCACCCCAGGGATCTTGTTAGTGGATAATAGAATATCCTAATGCCAATAACTAAGGATTAATTAATAATTCATAATAATATCTTATTAATATCCTTACTATCACAGGTATCTCCAGCGTATCCCTTGGGACAAACACACTTGAAGTCTGCTGAACTAGACAAGACAACTCCCTCCAGGAGACTACCATTGTTGTTAGTCGCGTCCACACACACGCCATTGTTCAGGCATGGACGAGACTTGCACGCGCTTAAGCCAACTGTGGACGAGAGGGTAAGGTAAAGTTGTTACTATTTTACATTTCCAGATGATTTTCTTTTGAAACATTTCAGTTAGCATTAACATGAAATTTAGAAATAGAAGATTAAAAAAATATCTTTTTACAAGATAAACTTTAAAAAATTTTTATATGAGGCAATCGTTATTGGTGAGTTTCAGTCAGTTGATAATAGTCTCATTACTGAATCTTTTTATCTGCTCCAAATGGTGGTCAAACACTGACCACCATGTGTTGTCAACCAGGAAGAATTCTCATTGAAAGCTTATTATGATTCAGCTGATGAATATTCCGCTAGAGACAGGAAATGACGTCGATTGAAACCCAGCAATAGGAAGAACAATGCCTTTAGAAGGAATGTATCTTGTCTTACTTTCGCATTTTTCTCCTTGGAATCCTGGACGACATGCGCACTGGAACACCTTCCCGCCATGCCCTGGGGTACATAGTCCACCGTTTTCACAGGGGTTCGGTAAGCAAGGGTCGCCAGATGCTGAATAAAAGCAATGGTTATTATACAAGTGGAAACAATACCACGTACAGTGATAGAAAAAAATCACAATCTACTAGCCACACGGTCTTGTTTTGATCCCTTCTCTATCGATATTATTCCATTCATAATTTTTCATGGTTAATGAGCAGCATGATTGTTTGCACGTTACATCTGACCGCCATGCTGGTGGTATAACAACGTTGATACAGCCGACATGGCTTCCATGTATTTGTCAGATGGCTGCAAAACATCTATTGATAGCCATTTCATAAAGAAAATACTTTTGATAATGTATAAATACGGCTAAATACCTTTATATTTATATTTATTTACATTAAAACCTTGCATTACGGACACCTCTATATTACTGACAAATATTTAGTTCCCGGCAAAATCACTATTCATTTTTGTTTCATAGCCCCGACTTTTATATTAAGAACACCTCTATATTACCGACAGCCCTATATTAAGGACACCTATATATTACCGACACCTCTATATTAAGGGAAGATATTTAAGTCCAGGCAAAAGCACCATACATTCTTTGATTCATAGACTTGAACTCTATATTATCTATATTACGGCCCGACATGACTTTTCTCCTTCTTCGACGTCGGTATTATAGAGGTTTCACTGTAGTTGCTAAAGTATAGTATTGGATACTTACCAGTACAAGTAAACCCGTTGCCTATAAAACCTGGATTACATTCACATGTTCCTTTGATACATCTAGCGTTAACACCACACCTGACGCACTTGTCGACTTTAGAAAAAATGGGACAGATTCAGTTGGTGCTGAACGATAGACAATATACATGATACTTGCGCACGAGAAGACACACAATATGGATACCGACAGAGCGTTTTCACGTGGCGTCACAGCGGCCATGTTGGTGTACTAAAACAATGCATTTTATATCCCCGGGGAATTGAACACTATCTTATTCAAAAAATGTGCAGAAAGTTTCTATTGTTGATACACCAATATGGCCGCCTTCTCGCTTGAGTGAAAACGCACTATAGACTATTAACAAAAAAGAAAATTTATTAAAGAAACGAAAATGAGAACGAGAAAATAAGACGTTTTTGAACGGATTACGTCATCCAATATCACGGCAGTGCCGTCACGTACTGAAATATGAAGACGCATGAAGTTATCCAATATGGCGTCACGTACGAGAACACAAAGACTATTGTTGCGCATACCCTCTCGCAGCGAGTGTTGGGCTTAAACTCGTAAAGATTCAATGATCGACACACTATTTTAAAAACCATGTGCTTCTCCTTTATTTTCTCTCCCTTCGACCCTAATCCCGCAAAGGACTCTGGGCGATGCCAACATTCAACCTTAGGGGGAAAGTGGTGCGACTATCAGACTGTGACGTCATCCAACATGGCGGCAGTGACGTCACGTACGAGAACATAAAGACAAGAACCTACCTCCACATCTTTTCCCCATATACTGGTCAGCACATTGACAAGAGAAAGCATCTTCAGAGTTGAAACACGAACCTCCATTCATACAAGGGTTGGGATAACATCGGTCAATGCCTGAAAGGGATGGAATCTTTTTCGTAAAATAATTATTAAATGAATAGCTTTCAGGAAACGTTTCATCACTAAAAAAAACAACAAAATAATTAGCTCTAATAGCTATTCATTATACTCAAACTTCTCTCTTACGTTCACAGTGGTACCCATGCCACCCTTTGTGACACAGGCAGTGATAGCCGAGGCGGGTCTGGGCCTGAAGACATGTTCCGTTGTATAGACATGGATTTGGAGAACATTTATCGCGACCTGGAAAAGTAAGTTCTAACATTAAACGAACGAACGAACGAACGAACGAACGAACGAACGAAGGAAGGAAGGAAGGAAGGAAGGAAGGAAGGAAGAAATTTTCCATTGTAAATCCTATGATGGTCCGTGGATTATTTCATGACAATTTCTAATGAAGAGAATTGTAACTTACGGTCGCACGTTTTTCCAATGAACCCTTGTTTACAGATACAAATATATCCATCCTTGTTCTTGACTTCGGAGCAGAGCCCTTCGTTCTTGCACGGGGAAGGCAAACAAGGACTGCTTAGAGCTGAAATAAGATCATAAGTAACCCTACACTCAGTTGAGGAACACATTTTCGCAGTTAATAAATAGAACTAAACCACCGTTTTTATATTTAATACCACATGTCATTCTCCAGAGTATAATTTCTTTCTTTAACGGATGCGAACGAAAATATACATGAATATGGATACACCTCGAGCAAATAATTTTGTCACATCAAGCTTTACTCTATATGTTAGTGTCGAAGTTGGAGTAGAGAAAGCTCACTCCATATATGGTATGATCAATTCCATATTTGGATTGTGCGGAATGACACGTGATCTGAAATGGAAAAATATAATTCCTAGACAGATTAGGTCTTTTTTAATTCTTAACAGTTTTGATTGAACTCGAAATGGTATACATAATCTTCTTAGCTTCAAATGACCTCCAACGGTCCAAGTTTTCATTTGCACTCTTTTCTTGTAAGACACAACTATTGCTAGTGTGACTTTTCTAAATGTCATTACACGTTACTCACCGTCACATATTTTCCCATAATGCCCCTCAGGGCAATCACACTCGAAACCGTCTAGTTTGGGAGTACACGTTCCGCCATTCTTGCAAGGGTTGCCATAACAGAAATTGAGCTCTAAACCAATAAAAAATTAGCCATAACTTATTTCGAAATTTTAAAATTTTGACCTTAATTTTGCAGTTGGATGTCGAGTTTTAGGGCCATGAGTTTATTAGTATTGTATACTATTCAGTGTTTATACCTTTATGAATAAAGATCATATCTATCTACCTATCTATAACTTGCAAACCGGAACTAGGTTGTGCGGGATCTTGTGGGGGCAATTCCTGAGCTCTATATCTATCCATTATCATTCTCATTTGGAAAAACCTGGAACCTCCGTAAAGGGTGCATAGCTTACGTTCGCAATTTGACCCAAGGTATCCCGGCTTGCACTTGCATCCTAGATTAATCCCGTCAGTTTTACATGTACCACCATTCTTGCAAGGATTGTTGGGATGGCAGAGGTTCAGCTCTTGAAAAAGAAAAAGAATTGAACAGTTGAAAATTTATTTGATAAAAATATTAATCAAAAATGGCCGAGGACAAGGATTCCAGTGCAACTTTGAAAATACAAAACCATTAAACAGCAAGTCTGTCCTATCTATTTTTATCTTTATGTTGGAAGTACGATGAAAACAGACGAGACGAAATTAAAGGATTGGCTGTTTGACATTTAGTCTTTGAACTCATATAAGCCTTTAGGACGAGAGGACTAATTGTTTTAGTCAATTCCAACTGGTGGGTAGAATATATAGATGCAAACAAGTTTTGAATTAAAGTTAAATATATTTTCTTGGTTTTCAACGCCGGCACTTTTCGCTACTAGAAGGATATTACTTATATCCTAGTAGTAGCTCATCCAATCAGAACGGAGCATTGATGATAGAGCGCTAGTTGGATTTGACTAAAACAAGTTACTCACTTTCACAAGTTGGTCCAATGTAAGCGATACTACAGTAGCAGACGTAACCACGACCTGTTGTGATGATGTCACGACAAGTGCCATCATTATGACATGGATTGGGAATACACTTGGACTTGACTGAAAGAAGAATAAAAAAACGATGATGAAAGATCCAAGGATAAACTGAAAAATAAAGACAGTACTCAAGGGAATGAACACGTGTTTTGAATTGGGCGTATCAAATATTGTAAAAGATTATAACGATTATACTTGGAAGCATCAAGTATAAGCAAATGCAATGAGTTCCGCTCTCATTTTGGGTTTGCAGGATGTATAGGATTTTGGAGTTGGTTTCTTTTGAGTTACAGGATAAGTGTCCACCACGGCATAAGGTTTTTCCCTTTTCATACCACGTGTCATTCTCTTGAGAACAAGATTTTTTGTTTGAATGGTATTCATATTTATGTGTCTTCAGTTGTCAACGGTTAAACAAAGAAATGATACTCTTGGGAATGACTCGTGGTTTGAAATGGGAAAACAGTAAATTAGGTCTGTTGTATTCCTCTTACGAGCTCCTTGATTTGTCTCAAAGATTATGATATTGTATGACGTTTTCATTGCAGTTCAGTTAATAGGTCACGCGTCCTTGATAGAGTTAAAAACCGAACAAGTTCGCCTACTTACTCTCACAGTTTTTCCCAACATATCCCTCGGTGCATTTACATTTGTAAGACTTGCCAACATTAACACACGTGCCGTTGTTATCACAAGGGTTCGGTTCACATGGATCTAGAGCTGAAAATAGTTTACATTCAATTTATTTATGAGTCTTTCAATTTGCAGCTGCATAAGTTGCTTCATATACTGCGAGGATCAGCTCAATTTGATTCAATCAGCTCAATTTATTATTAATACCATTTGTATCATGATAATTATCAATGGAGTTTACATGCAGGGTGACATTGCGCCAACGATAAATTGTAGGCCCCCGATGAGGCAGAGGTCTTTGAATAAGACAGTATTGCCATTGTAAGTTTTTAGAGCAAAAGCCGAACTCCTTCAAACGCAGATTGATTTAAGATTTGGTGTCGCTCAAGTGTCGGTCCAAGTCTCGGTCAAGGCTTGAACCCATTATTTACGGTATAACAAGCAAATTAAAGTGCTCCTAATGCTTGATTACAGACCAATTTAGAACAAATCCTCACATTGTCATAAACGCGTTTTTCAAATTTTTTTTTTTTCGTTTCAAACGAATTCCTGATTTTTTACGACACAAAAAAGTTGGCAAAATTCTCGTGTCCACTCACTCTCGAAATTTCAGTACCGCGTTCGAGGAGCCTGAAAAATTGTATAGACTTACGTCATCGGGGTGATACACCAATCGTTTTTGTGGGTCAAGAGTGCTGTTTTTAAAATTTTGAAGAAAGAAAAAATGCCGAAATATTGAGCTTTTACTTATTGTACAAGTGAATCCAACTCGGAAGAATGCGCAAGTCTTTCACATTTGGAACGTATCACCCCGATGACGTAATCGCAACAGTCCCCCTTACACGCGGTCCTCATATGAAAAGGCGCGTTTTCAAAACTCATTTAAAAATCAGAAATGCATCCAATTTCGAAAATTTTTTGAATTTTCGCATTTTTATGAATATATCTTCAACTTACATAAGGTCTGTGATTAGGCATTAGGGGCAATTTAAAGTTCAACCAATTTAACCAATACAAAATGATCAAAGACTCGGCGTCACTGATTATTAGGTCGAAGCTTCCCTTTCCTTGCCTGCAAATTTCCAAAGGATCAATATTTATTTACCTTCACATAGCTGACCAGCAAATCCAAGAGGACACTGACAAAGGTGGTTACCTTCCTGATGCACCATGCACACACCACTGTTATGACACGGGTCGGGAAAACACGGATCTTTTGCTAACGAACAAAAATCAAAGAATAACATTTTCATTTTGTAGTCCGTCAATAGAAGATCATAAAAAATTGCTATTTGCCTTTGGTTTTTCCTGTTATAAGCGATCTTTAATTAAATTTGTTTTGCTACGCCGAAAAAAAAAAGACTTCAATACTGTCTGCTAATAAAAATTCCGATTCCTAATAGCGGTCCTATCGCTAGTTAACTAGAGACTTTAAATACTGAAATACTGTTAGTATACTACGTACATTCCGAAAATTCAAGGTCCGGCATTTGGCCGGAAATGACCATCATTCCAGATTTTCAATGTGGTTCTCGAAACACTACACTATACTACTCTTCATTGAAGTTAACATAAAGTCTTCATAATTTGACTATGAAAACTAACTGCTCTTTACTATGAACTCGTATCAAAGAAACACTTCGAAAAAAATCAAAAACATCAAACAAATTAATGTCCATCAAATGACTTTCTTTAAACATTTCTGAATATAAAGCATGTGAGTAAGAGCTAGTAATAAGGATTTATAAAACTTTCAATCCGTGCGATGCAGTCAAAATGCGTTCAATTTTCGTTTATAGGTGGATTTTTTTCGTAAATTTGGTGTCAATCGTTCCCTTGAAATCACCATTTTTTAGATTTACATATTTTGTAGATTTTGGTATTATCTTGATTTTAAAGCAAAGAAAAATGGGGGTCATTGAATTGGTTTCCGATATATTTTGCAGTAAAGAAGTGAATATGGGTTTTCTTGATATTTTGCGCTGCCCCTCAAAACGTTGGAACGACGTCATCACGATGTGCGCGTGCGCACTTAACTCATGCCTTGAAAGGCTGCGCGCGAACAATGGCCGCGAACGGCCTTAATTATGAAGACATTTAAGTCATACATGAGAATATACCTGTTTGAAGATATTTAACAAGACGCCTAATACATGTAGAATTTAAGGAAAAAATACCACTAAGGTTACGTTTTGTGTTATTATGGTTGTACCTTCACATGTAAGACCTATTTGTCCAACCTCACAAATACACCGGAAGCCATTCTCGGCTTGCATGCAAGTCCCCCCGAACAAACATGGATTCTGATAGCATGCGTCTACACCTTGGAAAACATGATAGCGAGATTAATGATCATGCTGTGGTCGTTAGCGAATTAGAAGTAGAGAAATGCCATCCATCCATTCATCATTCTCTTTGTTACCTTCGCAGCTGTCTCCGAGGAAGCCTCGTTTACATTCACACTCAAAGTCATCTGGTCCATGCTGGATGCAAGTTCCTTCATTACGACACGGATTTGGTCTGCAGAAGTCTCTCACTGTAAGAACAAAAACAGTCGACCTTGGAATATCACATTATTGGTAAAGATCAACATTAATATCTACAGATCAGGTAAACGCAAATACACAATATTTTTTTCGCGCTGTAATTTTAGACTTTTATTCAGTTTTGTGGAAAATAACTGTTATATCTTTGGTCATTGTTCGATGAATAAGCTCAAAGCAAGCCAGGAAATAAACGTGCCTGTTACTAAGCTAAGAAAAATACTGCTTTATTTGTATAAAGCTTTAAAGCACCGGCATACTTATCCCAGATGTCCATGCCTTTTGATAGGGTACATTCTATAAACACTATATACTGGAAAAATCTATCGATTTGAGATGTTGGATATAAGTTGAAAGTTTCGACTTAAAACATATTTCCAACTGCATTGACTTCCAAGATATTTCCAACAAAGTTCCAACATATTTCCAACATGCACGCGTCATCACTAACTAACTTCCAACGTATTTCCATGATATTTCCAACATATTTCCAACAAATTTCCATACCATGGATCAGTCCAAAAGGTTGGAAGTCAGACTTCCAACTTATTTCCAACATATTTCCAACATCTCAAATCGATAGATTTTTCCAGTGATATAGGATCTAGAAGTAGCTTCTATTTAGTGTACTACTGTGGCCTTGATGAAAATTACTCGCGTAAATCTAGTAACCCAATAAAGTGTTATTATTATAAACTTCATGATCTATCTGGTCTTAACACAGCTAGATGTACAATGATAAACCAATTTAAATTTGATTATAAGATATGATATAAGATATGAAATACAATATATGATAAACTAATATAATGAAAATGTTTCCTAAATAAACCAAAAAAGGAGAAAACGAAATTAAATTTATTCATCTAAAACTCATAATAACTGGATATGAATTAAGGTATATCGATGTAGAAATTACTAGAGATTATTGTAATCTGATTGGCTCTCAGCAGAGCGTATAAATGCGCAGTAATCGCGAATCGAACCATTTTCATTTTCAAATCACACTGTTGACAAGTGAACGTGAATTTCTCTCTTTTGCTACAGTACGAACAACACCTTACTAAAGACGCTGGTGAAGTTACTTGCGACAAGGAAATGAATGCTTCCAATTTCACCTCAGATTATTTCAAGTGCACAAGTGACTCTGACATCGTACGAACAGTTAAAGTGATGACTATCGTGTTGGTTACAGGATTTGGTGTCTTTGGGAATGCCTTGGTCATTTTAATCGCTGTCAAATACACCAGGCAAACAAACATACATAATTTGATCATCAACATGGCTGTATCAGACCTCCTAGTAATCCTATTCTATTTATTTCGAAGCATTTCAATTCTCAAGAACTCTTTTCGTCTCAATGTCGTCTATATTCTTTGCAATGTGAACATATTTCTGGATTCCTCATTTAAAACTTTAAGTTTGGTAACATTGTCTATAATCAGCATTGAGCGATACAAAGCAACGAAGTTAACAGCACTACGAATGCGTCTCTATACGCTAAGACAACGAGTGAGTGCAGTCATTTGTTCCTGGATTATTACATTGGTAATTTGCTCAATATTTATGTTCTACAAGGCAGAAATTATAATTTACAACGGTTCTTATGTCTGCAAGTTCAAAATTAACGCTGCTTACAAAGCGTCCTTGGTTTTTGTCCCAATTGTTCTACTTATATTTTTTTGCCTAATTTTCCTGTTAAGCATTTTGACATCATTACGACTCAAAAAGCCTTCAGGTGTCCAAGGTAATCTTTCAGAGAACCAGAGGCAAGTGCGAGCAAAGCGAATAGCGAACGCGGTCAGGATGGTAGTATATTCCGCGCTTCTTTTTTTGTGTTGTCATTTTCCAAACTTCTTCTGGATTGCATATTATTTCGAGCTAAGTGACAGCGACGGGGTTAAAATCTTTAAACCCTGCAACTATGTATCTTTAAGATCGCTATTTGAATTTTTAATTCTTGTAAATTCCTGTTTAAATCCTTATGTATGTATTATATTTTTGCCTGAATTTCGTGATGCAGCGAAGCGATTAATGTGGAAGACTATATAACTTCTTCAGAAACGTCAGCATTCAATTGAACTTGGCAGGAATAATCTATGTCAAATTAAAAAGGCGGAGTCAACATCGTTTAACCAAGGAAGATTAATAAGTGACATTAAATAAAACTTTGCATTGACTTGCCAAGTGTTCAAATTATTTTGTATTTTCAAATAAAGGAAAAGAGACGCTTTTTCCTGATTCTTTACTTTCGTATAACGTAGCGTGGGAACTTACTTTTTGAACCAAACCATCTGGTTGTAAATTCATTTGCAAAGTAGTTAGAAAAGTGTTTCCAGGAGTTATTATTATTTTTAATTCAAAAGGGAAATGGGGAAATACAGAACAGGAAAACAAGGTCTGGAAAATTAAATTTACGATTTTATGAGGCTTTATCCACAGGTAGCCCAAGCTTGGTTTCTGTGGTGTCCTGTTATAAGGAAATGTATGGGGATTCATCAAAAATTTCAATAAAATCATCAAAACGTGAAATAAAGCCTCGGAATTTTACCATATCATAAAAGCTTTTGGATCCCGAGTTTCCAACCTTCTCTTATTTCTTACTGGTGGGGGAAAAAATCCTTAAAACGGGCTAAATTCAAAAAATAACCAGGCAGAGCGAAAGAAGTGCTATTTCTCAATGATAGGGTAAAATTTCGAGTCTTTATTTCACGTTTTAATGATTTTATTGAAATTTTTGATGAATCCCCATACATTTCCTTATAACAGGACACCACAGAAACCAAGCTTGGGCTACCTGTGGTATGACTGTACTTCATTGTGGAAGTTATTGATCTTCATGGAATTGAAGTCTTTCGTTATCTCGACCAAGTTGACAGGATATATTAAGTGAAATTAAAGCTTAGATAATTGAATTTGAACAACCAAAGCTAAAACACCTGTTTCAACCAAAAATATAAATAATAGCGCAAGCCAAAGTGGATGTAATATTTCAGCACCACTAGAGAGTAAACATCGACTGCACTTTGATATTCAAATTGGAATCAAAAAATAAGAAAGCCTGTTGGATAACAGATACTGACTGCAGTTTTAAAATCTCAAGTTATTTTGCTACATTGTGCCGGACAAAAACAACGCTTTTAAAGAAAGTTTAGTTTAGAATTCAAAGAAGAAGCTTTAAGAAATTTTAAGAACCGAAAAAATGAATGCTTTGAATTTCACCCAAGATTATTTCAAGTGCACAAGTGACTCTGATATTGTGCGAACAGTTAAAGTGATGACCATTATACTCTTTGCAGGATTTGGGGTCTTTGGAAACGTCTTGGTCATCTTAATCGCTATCAAATACACTAGGCAAAGGAATATGCATTACTTGATCGCTAATATGGCTGTCTCAGATACACTTGTCATATTCATTTATACCTTGCAAAATGTCCCTGTTGCTGTCAACGAAAACGCTTGGGTGATGCTCATGAGTTTTGCAATTGCCTCGAATTTGTGTAAGGTCTTAAAATGGTTCGAATACGCATCCAAGTTAGTTAGTCTAATAACTTTAGTTATAATCAGTATTGAGCGATACAGAGCCACAAGGGTTACTGCCCTAATACTACGGCCTCATACAATGACACAACGAGTTGCTTCAGTGACCTGCTCATGGGGATTTTCCATGGTAGTTTGCATATTCATTTTTTTCACTGCCGCATTACATTTTGAGAATGGCACTTCTACTTGTAGTCTTGTGGCATATGCCATCATATATAGAATCGGATTGACTTTGTTGGTCGTCACTTTTATATCTTCTTTTTCGTTCGTTCTTTTACTAAGCATTTTGACGTCATTACGACTTAAAAGGCCGTCAGTCGTTCAAGTCAATCTTTCTGATATTCAGAAGCAAATGCGATCAAAGCGAATATCGAACGCGGTCAGGATGGTATTGTGTTCCATACTACTCTATGGCTGTTGTTACTCACCATTATTGTTTTGGTTAGCTTTTTATTTTGAAGTTTCAATGAAAGGTTTTTCGTTTGAAGTATTTGGTCTTGGGTGCAACTTGATTCTGTTATCATTCCTATCTGATAGTATATCGGCTTTAAACTCTTGTTTAAGTCCTTATGTTTACATTATATTTCTCCCCGAATTTCGACAAGCTTCGAAAAGGCTATTGTTTTCTAAGCAGCAACTTGCAGAGCAAACCGCATCACTTGAACTCAACATTAACGGTCAGATTAACCTGTTTCCTGAAAAGCAAAGGAACTGAACTTCACAAACTAAAAATCTCGTAAATATTTAAACTTTTAAATGTTTAGATAAAATAGGAAATGAATGCAAAAATAATAGAATAATCATATATAATACAATAGATATAGTTGATGAAGATGCTATAGAAACCTTTATTATTAATTAATTTCCCATCACAACAAGGCTTGAATAAAAAAACACGAAAAACAATATGAAAAACGAGAAAGGAAAAACGAAGGAAGGAAGAAAGGAAGGAAAGAAGGAAAGAAGGAAGGAAGGAAGGAAAGAAGGAAGAAAAGAAAGAATTGAATTAAGATAAAAAAATAAAAAAT